GCCATCATCTCCTGAGCCTATCAGCACAACTATCTTGGCAGTAGCAGAAGAAATCCTTGAAAAGGACTTTATTGGAGCTGGGGAGGAAAACGTACAATCCGGCATCATCATCTCAACATTCCAGGAGGACAAGTGGCAATGTGAGGACAGAATGCTAACCACACGGAGCTCCCCAGAGACTAGCAGTTCTTGAGAAATGCAGATATTGTTAGAAACAATATGTTAAAGTGTTTTATTATTTAGTTGCATCTTGCCTGAGCATGAACAAGTTATTAACATGCTGTCAGCTTTCTGGGACATAACCCAAAATAACTTACATTTTTTTCATATAGTGCTAATTATTTTTCTGAGTCTGGCTCAGGCTGGTAAGAGTGAGATTTCAAGGCTTTCCCCAGATTATTTACTTAAAGAAGTTAAGCACATCATTATCTGTTCCCATGGAAACACAGTAAGTAATACAGGAGACAGAATGGGAGGTCACTTTGACCATAATTAATGTAAAGAATAATGGTTTACGTGGGGTTTGGTAAAGGGTACAGCAAGGTGCTCTAATACCTTTAAACTTGTCTACAGTGAAATTAAATCTTTGGATCAATTTTCATATACTGCTATAATTCTGGTAGTTTTAATAGTCTGGTGCTAATTTTTAAAACAGTTTAATCTTTTTTAGAAAACATATTTCAGTGGTGCTGTTTCATGTTTGATCCCATCAGAAAATTCCAGTAACCAGAATTTTTCCAAGGTATCGAGCAAATACAAACTCATGGCATGTTAAATGGCCGTCTGGTGTAAGCCACAGCTTCTTCCACCTGGCTTTTCAATAAATAATTTACTGGTGAATTGATTAATGATAATCCAGAGGCACCACTGGATTCAGAATTATTTTTTAAATTACCAAAGAAATATTTAACTATGCTCAATGTAGTTTATACTTAAAGTGACATATTACATTCTTCTTTTTTTTTCTCCTTTCTTTGAAAATTGGTAATCTACAGCAGTGGCTCTTAGCTAAATATTCCATTTATTGGAGCACAGTGCACTCCTCAGGGAATCTTACAGAGAGATACCTACTGTCGCTTATATTTAATCCTTATCCTTATTTGAATAGTGGATTTCTTGTGGAGTCTCTCAAGCATAGATTTTATCATAGAAGCTCGATTACACATTTGCCAAAGCTGTTTAATTTAAGACAGTGTCACAGAAAGAACTAAAGGGAAAACAGAGAAATGAACAGTTGACCTTTCAAGTTCCTGAACCTGTAACACACGCAGACATTATATTAAAGTCAGCAATGAGTAGAACATTGTTCCTTTTACAGCTTTGGTCCAAGAAACCTAATCTAGCCTCTCCCCACGAAGCCTTGTCCAAGGGATAGGTCCAGGACTGTGGTATGATGTGGAATAGTATTTCCAAACAGGTGGCCTGTAATTAAATGGAGTCAATACACAATTTCCCACCTTTTAGAAGAGAATGACTTTGCTGCCACATGAGTAACCAAAAATAAATAAATAAATAAATAGCAAGCTTGAAATCATTTCATCAGGAATATAAATCAGTTATTACCCCAATTAGAAAAATGTTGATGGGATTGGCTATGGTATTATTTTTTGGGGGGTGAGGGGGTGGGAGCTACAGCTGTTGTTTTTTTATATGATGATATCACATTCCTGTTCTAGCAGTGCAAATGGCATTGCATCCTGCTTGGCAGGCACAGTGGTCACTTGGCTCTGCCATGAATAAGAACTTGTCAGCAGTACCATTCCATAGGCTTGTAGGAGAGCCCTAAAATAATGGAGGGTGCATGTCCCTGTATGTATTTATGTTTGGATAATTTATTTAAATAATGTTGCTGGCACATGCTTTATAGCTGCTTGCATTTTGCTACACAGATTTCAGCGTATCTTGCAGACTATGCAATTCATTTGGAAAATGTAATTTCCATCCCTGCATACTAATCGATTTCTTCACAAACACCTGCTATCAGTTATGATCATAAAAATGCCACTCTGGATTGAAAAAGGGCCAAATAGAGCTTCCTAAGGAAATGACTTAAGTGTCTTTGAATGCTACTAAATGTACTAACGTGCTTATGTGGGGCCAACACTTTCTTCATCATTTGCATTTTCAGTAATTGTGCCCAATTACAACATCCCTCTCTCAAATAAAGCCTCATAACCACTTCTTGATGGGTGGGTAAACTGAGCTGTGAGGAGTTGGTACCTTAAGGTGTGGCCAAGGTTTGAAGTTGGGCTGCAAAATATAAAAAGCACTACCTCCTGCTCCCGGTCCCCCCAAAGTCAATTCTGATTTTACGAGGAAGTCCCTGAAAACTATAAAATTGGCAGCTCCTTTGTTTTGCACACACATACACCAAATAAAATTTCCTTTATTCATTCTCTTCAGCCTCCAGTTCATTCCACGCACCATTGCCAAACTAATCTTCCTAAATCACCTATTTCATCATGTCCTTCCGCTGCCCAAGAACCTTCAATGGTTCGCAGTTGGCCGCCCCATTGAGCCTAACTCTTCAGCCCTACTTCATAGCCTCCGCACTCTCTCATCACCAAATGCATGCCTTTCGGGTCAAGCGTCTCTCCTTCCTGCCCCCAAATATTCTGTCTTCAGTTCTCATCTCTAGGCTTTTGTTTATGCTCTTGCCCCTGACTGAGATGCCTATTCATCCTTCAAAACTTTCTTTGATTATTCCAGTCTGCATTTTTCTTTCTTTTGTCTGAACAACTACAGTATGCATTCCCTTGTCATATACCTTGTCATGACAGTAAGTTGTTCGTTTATTTACTCATTCAACCAACATTGAGCGCTTGCTATATGTTAGGCATCATGCTATTCCTTACTCCTTTGAATGTGCTAATCCCCTTTCAAATGTGCCCATCACAATTAGATTTTAAGCTCCTGAGAGAAGAGACAGGTTCTGTCTCCTCTTTTTTCATGATCCAAGATGCCCAGGCAGGCCTGGGCAAATAGTAAGTATGCAGTAAATGCTTGTTGACTAATTGATCCCTGATGGTTTGAGGTAGGGAATTTTCTGCTTAATTGCATGTTCTGTTTGATTAGTATTTTAGTGTGTACTATACATAGATTATCATTGAGCAAAGTGGAATACCGTAAAACACTCAACTGTAAAACTATTATTGACATAATTTTTTGTTTGACGTTTGAGGAGAGTATTCACTGAAGTCTCAGAGCACCTCACTGGAAATCTATCATCATTTACTGCAATACGCAAATAGAACATCCAGAAGGCTAGCCTAGATCTGGCCCCTGACACAGGGAGTAGGGGTGCACAAATCAACACGTACGAGAACGTGCTGTGTGACAGACCCTATGCTAGGCCCTTCCATACTGGAAGTTATGTCTTTGAAAAGTTTATGATAGTTGGTTTCTTTTGTTTTGTTTTTGCTTGCTTGCTTCTAAAATTAGAGAATGAATTTTCTGGTGGAAGTGGGAAGAAAGTGTGGGAAAATAGTGGGAAAGAAGAAGGATAGAATGGACACTGGTTTTAAACAGTCTGGTGAGAACTCTGCCTTTTGGTAGCAGTACAATAGCACAGTGATTGAGAACAAAGACTCTGGAACTGGGTTTGAGGCCAGCTTGGTACACAAATGACTTGCACTCAACTGTTAACCTAAAGGTTGGTGGTTTAAACCCATCCAGAGGTTCTGCAAGAGCAAGACCTGGTGATCGCATTCTGTAAAGGTTGTAGTCACAAAAATCCTATGCAGCAGTTCTGCTCTGTAACACATGGGGTTGCTATGAGTTGGTACTGATTGAGCAGCAATGGGTTTGGTTTGGGCATGGGCATGTTTCTCATCTATGAAGATGTGATACAACTTGGATCACAGCCTTGATGGGCAGATTGAGTTAGTTCATACAAAGCTCTTGTACACTGTCTCTTGCTCAGCAAGCTTGCTCAACAAGCTGGTGGTATTATTATTATTACTATTGTTGGAGGTCACTGCTAAACAATTGCTGGAAACTAGGGGAGTGAGCTCTCCATCCTCACTCCTCTTCTTACTCGGTTTCAGCTGGTTCTGAAGCCTTAAAGCTGTGTAAGGCCCCAAGTTAACTGTCTTGGCTTTTCAATAAGCAGGTAAGCTGGCAATGTGAGAGACGTCTGAATCCACACAGAGAGCTTTTGAGATTTCAGAGAAGAGTATTAGAGTAACCAGTCAGCCATGGAGGGAAAAAGAGTTTGAATCTGTTGGTGAAACAGATGGAACTAGGTTACCATTGTGATGAGGAGGTAGAGAAAACAATTTGTGCAGTGTGTCCCCGCAGTGGAGAAGGAGGAATGGTGTGCATGCAAATTCCTTTGTCCCTTGGGATGCTGTTGCATGCCTCAACCTGTGGAATTAATGATTATTTGAAAGAAAGCTGCACTCTAAGGAGCTAAGCAATCCTGTAGAAAGGGATAGAACACTAATATAGTAGGTGGGACTGTTGCCTGTGATTCTGAATGTCCTCATCACCTAGCAACATATATTAATTTCTGAGGAGGTGCCTAGGCTTGGCGGAGAGGTCAGGAGCAAGAATTTGGAAGGAATTAATCTTTGTGTCCCCAAGAAACACTCATAAGTAAGTTAAGATAAATACAACAGATAAGAATTTCAGAGGAAATGACCAGCGTTAGCTGCAAAATAAAGAACCAACTTTGGTTTTATTTCTGAGGTGTTGGATGAGATATTCCTTTTTTCACTCCAATTGCCATCATGTCAGTTCCAACTCATGATGACCCCATAAGTGTGAGTAGACTGTGCTGAGTAGGGGTTTCAGTGGCTGATTTTTCAGAAGTAGATTGCCAGGACTTTCTTCCAAGGAGCCTCTGGGTGGACTCGAACCACCAACCTTTCAGTTCGCAGGCAAATGCATTAACTGTTTGCACCTCTCAGGGTCTCCTTTTCCCACAGAAGGTCCTCTCAATCCTAGTGCCCTTGTGTGCAAGCAGCTAACTTACTTGAACTCCTCTGTTTGTCCTTCAGCCCTAGCTGCTCAGGCCTATGCCCTTAAAGAGGAGAATGACAGTCTCCGTTGGCAGCTGGATGCCTACAGGAACGAGGTAGAGTTGCTGAAACAAGAAAAAGAGCAGCTTTTCCGAACAGAAGAAAACCTCACCAAGGACCAGCAGCTCCAGTTCCTTCAGCAAACCATGCAAGGCATGCAGCAGGTACCCGCACTCAAATTGGTGCAGAGAAAGGGAGTGTGTGTGAGAGATTGCAGTTGTTTGCTGGGAAGGATGAAGGAGAAGAAATGAAAATCAAAGAGTTAAGCAGATAAGAAAGAAAACATGTGGAAGGCTATATATAAGCTGGAGAAAAGTCAAGCTGAAGAAATATATTAAAGAAATACACCCTTGAGATAGGAAATAAAGGAAAGTGAATTTAGGAAATTGAAAGGGTGTATACAAAATTCAGCCTTGAAAATCCTTGCCAATCATGATTCAAGTGTTCATAATCTTGGAATATTTAAGTAACAAAGCATCCCAGCTGACTTTGTCAAAGTATATGAGTTTGCACATATATTTGTTTGTTTTCAAAACCAAACCAAACCAACTGCCATGAAATCAGTTCTGACTCATGACCCTATAAGGAGCTCTGGTGGTGTAGTGCCTAAGGCATCTGACTGCTAACCAGAAGGTTGGTGGTTCAAGCCCACCAGCCACTTCGTGGAAGGAAGACTGGGCAATCTACTTCCATAGTGATACCACCTCAGAAATTCAAGAAGGAGTTGCTATGGGTTGGAATTGACTTCATAGCATTCAGTTTGGTTTGGTTTTGGATGACCATATATAAGACAGAGTAGATCTGCCTCATAGGGTTTCCAAGGCTGTAAATCTTTACAAAACAGACTGCTTCATCTTTCTCCTGCAGAGCAGCTGGTGAGTTCAAATATTTACCTTTTGATTAGCAGCCAAGTGCTTTAACCACTGCATCACTAGGACTCCTGTTTGTTTTCCAGGACAGTATAAATATAAACCATATTGCTTCACCTTCTTCTGAATTATACTTAGAATCTAGTAAATGAGCTCAGTATGTATTTAAGAAATATTTCTTGATGGAATGAATGTAGCCCCAGAGTTTTTGGATATAGGTAACTTAGAAAGAGGGCAATAGTCATGCTTTTGTCAAAGAGGACCAGACTTCATCCTAGCACACTAAATTTAATGATGTGTATTTATGGCAATTTTGGGAAAGGGAAAAGAAGCTGTAGACTATGACAGAGAGGGAAATGTGGGAAATTAGGGATTGATGGGGTGCTTTGGTGGCATAGTGCCTAAAGCATTTGACTGCTAACTGGAAGGTTGGTGGTTCAAACTCACCAGCTACTCCATGGAAAGAAGACTGGGCAATCTACTTCCATAGAGATTTACTGCCCCAGAAACCCAATGGGGATCACTATGAGTCAGAATTGACTCGATGGCAGTGGTTTTGGTTTGGGTTTTGGAAGGGAAAACCTGAGAACTGACAATGGGAGAATGCATCAAAGGGTTGTAACTGCATTTTTATCTGAAGACATCAATGGATACATGTCATTCTTAACATGTAAGGACAGTGGTGGTTCAGTGCAGGATTCTCGCTGACCATGTGGGAGACAGGTTTGATTTCAGCCAGCGCACCTCATGCACAGCCACCAGCCATCTGTCTGTGGAGGACTGTACGTTGCTGAGTTGGAATGACTCCACTCCACAGCAACAGTCTGTTTGTTTGTTTGTTTAAATGATGCTGAACAGGAGCCTTGGTGGTGCAGTGGTTAAACACTAGGCTGCTGACCAAATCTCAGCAGTTTGAACCTTTCAGCCCTGCTTCGACGTCAAAAGATGTGGCAGTCTGCTTCTGTAAAGATTTGTAGCCTTGGAAACTTTATGGGGCAATTCTACTCTGCCCTATAGGGTCACTATGAGTCAGTATCGACTCAGTGACAACAGGTTTGGTTTTTGGATATGATGATGAACAGATTTCAGTGGAGCTTCCAGATTAAGACAGACTAGGAAGAAAGGCCTAGTGATCTGTTTGCAAAAGTCAGCCAGTGAAAATCCTATGGCTCACAGTGGTTTGATCTACAATTGAAATGGGGGTGATACAGGACTGGACAGCATTTCATTCTGTTGTGCATTGGTTCACCATAAATTGGGGGCCAAATTTAACAGCAGCTAACAGAAACAATGTTTTAAGATATTTGGGCCTTTGATGTTAGAATAACATGGCATAAATAATCATCATCACAATAGGTCTTTTTTTTCCAGTTGACTCTCTGAGTACACGAATCCAAACTATTATATTTTGAAAAAGGATTTCTTTCATTTAAACAAAGGAAATATAGGTAGGATGGAGGAGTTCATATAGTGAATAGTTTTTTTTTTTTTTTTCTGTCAATTCCTCCATCCACTTTGACTGCTCATTAAGCATGAGTTGTCTCCAAAAAGGTCTTAGTGATTAGAGGCAACTGTCACAGAAACATCAGCCAAGAAGGGAAAAACAAGAGAAGACAGAACAAAATGGGATCAGGGATTAGGATATGAACAAGTTAGTGACCAAGCCATAGAAATTATGTGTTAAACATCTTCTGTCATTTTAAAGCAATTTTTGAATCTTGGCTTTGAGTCCTAACTGGTTGATGTTCACAGAATGTGTTAGAATCAGTGCAATTCAGGGGTCAAACCCAGCCATGAAAATGTCATTACAGTCATTGCTCAGGTCCCTGCACTTGGAAATCCTTGTTAACAGCTGCTGTGTGAGGCCCCTAGGGTCATCCATGTGCTTCAAACTTGGGTGTTTATCAGCACCCTTGCCAGAAAGTCTTCCAGTTTCCCCAAAGACTGTGATACTAGATGTGGTCCATAAGCTACTATGTCATACCTCCTATAATGGACCCTCTTTTCCTTCAGGGGAAAAAAAAAAAAAACACCCTAATTGCTTTAAGAATAAATTGAAGGGGAAAAACAAAAAAAAAAAGCTAACTAACTGCAACTCTAGGAGCTCTGGTAACATAGTGCCTAAGGCATTTGACTGCTAACCAGAAGGCTGGCGGTTCAACCCCACCAGCCACTCCTCGGAAGGACGGTTGGGCAATCTACTTCTGTAGTGATACCACCTCGGAAACCCAAGGAGGGGTCGCTATGAGTCAGGGCTGCCTTGACGGCACTTAACAACAACAACAACTACAACTCTTGGTGACCCATGTGTGTCAAAGTAGAGCTGTGCTCCACAGGGTTTTCAATGGCTGATTTGGGGGAAGTAGATCACCAGGCCTTTCTTCTGAGGTACCTCTAGGTAACCTCAAACCTCCAGCCTTCCCCTTAGCAATCCTATACATTAACTGTTTGCATGATGGGGTCACCCTGAGTCAGAATCAATTCAGTGGCAACTGATTTTAAGAGTACATAAAACTTTTAAATACTGTCGAAGATTCAAATATAAAAGAAGTCAAAAGAGGGAAGGGTAAGTTAGTCATGGAGAAATATACCCAGGAGGAGAGGGACTTGTCAGCCCTGGTGCAGTGAAGAAGCCTTACAGGTGACCCACAGAGGAGCAGGGTGCACAAGGTACCACCTGAGTTCTATCCATCTTAAAGGAAGTATTCATTCTGTGAGATTCTTGTACATTTTGACAATCTCCTTGTCAGTTGGAAATTTAATATAATTTTTAAAATTATGTATGTTTTGAGCATATTTTTACCTTAACATCACTTTTTTTCTTTCTTTTTTTTTTTTAAATTGTGATTTGTGTGAAAGTGTACAGAGCAAATTTGTTTCCCATTCAATACTTCATCCACATTTTGTTTCATGATATTGATGGCAATCTCCACAATGTAGCAGCTCTCTTCCCACTTCTTCCCTGTAGTTACCATTTCCCTGTGTCCTTCTCCCCTATGTATTCCTGCCCCCTGAGCTTTCTCCCTAGGCAAATGCTGCCGTTTTGATCTCCCGTAATTGATTGTTCTAAAGAGTGTACTTATCTAGTGTAAATGTTCAACTCATAGGCCTGTCTGTTATTTGGCTTGAAGTCAAGCCATGGGAGTGAGTATAATTCCAGGCCTGAAGGATGACTAGGGGCCATAGTGTGCAGATTTTCACCAGTGTCTATCAGACCAGTAAGCCTGGTCCTTTTTATGATTGAGTTTTGTTCCAAATTTTCTCCGACTCTGTCAAGGATCTCCAATTTTGATCCCTTTTCTAGAGGTTGACAGTGGTAGCCAGGCACCACCTATTTCTTCTGGTCTCAGGGTCGTATAGGCTGAGGTCGCCATGGTCCATTAGTCCCCTGGACCTGTGTCTCTGATTTTCTTCCCTCTTCTTTGCTCCACAGGAAAAGAGATCAATAGGTTGCATCTAGATGGCCACTTGCAAGCTTTAAAGACCCCAGTTGCTACTCACCAAAGGAGGATGTAGAACAATCTTTTTGTGTAGTATGTTATGCCACTTGAGCTTGACATCTCCCACAACCATGGTCCCAAGCCCACAGGCCCAGCAACTTACTCCCTTTAGGTTTTTGGGTGTAGCTAAGATGTTATCTTAAGTTTGCCCCCTGTTAACTCTAGTATACATATGGACATTCTTATAGCACATATAAATAAGTATGTAGAAATATTGTCTTTCAGACCTATAAATGGTCCTGGGTATATTACCATTTGCATACCCATATCTGATCATCTTGACTGTCTACCTGTGTATTTACCCATATATTAATGTGGTGGCACAGTGCCTAAGGCATTTGACTACTAACTAGAAAGCTGGTGGTTCAAACCCTCCAGCCACTCCTCCGAAGGAAGATTGGGCAATCTACTTCTGCAGTGATACCACCTGGGAAACCAAAGGAGAGGTTGCTGTGAGTCTGATTCAACTGGATGACAGTGATTTTTTTTTGGAGGGGGGGGTTAAATAAATTAACACAACCTGCTAATTGGAGTGTCATTGCCAAGGATGCTCCTGATTTTAAAATCTACTCTGAATCTGCCCACTCTTCATTTCACAAATTAGAAAATTGCAGTCTCACATGAAGGTCGGTCTTCCATATGGCTTCATTTTAGCAATTGATCTTGGTTTGGGAAATTATTTCTTTAACAAAGACAAGAAAATAAAGAGCTTTTATGGCCTTAGGGCTAGTGATAGCTTTTAGAGTTGCCTTCAAGTTCAGCCAAAAAGTTTCTACCCCTCTTTCTTTTAATCCC